AGGTACTATGGGTCGTGAAGTGGGGTACACTCCGGACAGACTGCCAATCTGACACAATAAACTACATGTGTTTTATTAAAACAGAAATTAGTTTAAAACCCGTGTTTGTTTTTTTTCCCCTGAAGAGATTTTACATGAAAATTCACAGCAGGACAATGAGGTTCAACGTGATTGATAAAGAATTGCTCTATATGTTTATAAAAGCAACAAAGAAAGATACTCACAGTCAGTGAAGCTGACAATGCTCTTAAAAAAATTTTTTTCAGTGACTGACAATTAAATCCGAGTTGTTTAATTTCCAGATTGTTTCTCCACTATTTAAATTGTCTCATGAAGTCTGCAGTAGGAATAAGACTTATTCACATGACAGAAGAATATGAAGAGAAAGTTTGGCTCACATGACAGAGAGAGTTTGAAGAACTCTGTCAGAAGAAGTCGTTTGAACGCATCACTGCTCAAACATGGTCATTTTCTGACCAGCTGAACGCGAACACACACACACACACACACACACACACACACACACACACACACACACACACACACACACCACACCACACACACACACACACACACACACACACACACACACACACACACCCTCTCCTGTATTGTTAAACATTAATCTTTTTTGTGTTAAAGACATATTTACAAGATAGTTTAACTAACACACTACACGTGTGCATCATGCTTTATATTTCCCCGTCGCCACTCACTGTTTTGTTGAAAATGAAATTGGTTAGCTGTTTTTTTTTTTTTCAATATTTTATTTTAATTTTTTCAGCATAGAAAACTCCATCAACAAACAAATACAGCTCAGGCGCTGAGATGATAGGACAAGAAATAGCACAATAATAATAATCAATAGGGAAAGACAAAAGAAAAAAGAAAGAAAACATTAAAATTAGAAACTACCAGTATCCATAATGAATTAAATGTCATGAATATGTAATAAACAGGGAAATTGCAGTGCCATGGTACATGTTTATACAACGTGAGCTTTCTCAAGATGAGAACAAAACGGAGTCCAGGATTTTGAGAAAACATTTGCTGCAGGTGTTTGCAGGTATCGAACTTTTTCCAGCTGAATGACTGATAACATGTCATTGAGCCAGACACTGAAGGAGGGAGGAGCAGCGGACTTCCATTCCTTTAGAATAAGTCTTTTCGCAATCATCATTCCGAGGTCGATTGGCACCCGCACAGTCGCAGGGATAGTTCTGGAACGTACACAGCCAAAAACTGCAATTTCTGGATTGGGTGAGATGGAAATCCCATAAGCTTTAGAGTACCAATCAAATATTTTGGACCAAAAATTGGTCAATGAGGGGCAATGCCAGAAAGCGTGAGCCAATGTGCTCTCTGATGTTTTACATCTGTCACATATGGGGGAAGTTGAAGGATAAATTTTGTGTAGTCGAACTTGGATCGTCTCTCTGGTGATAATGGTGAAAGAACATTTAGTTTATTTTCTTTCTTTTTTTTATTCATGATCACTGGATGCGCTTGAAATTTTCATGATTTGAATTGAAGTTGATTTGAACATAGTTTTTATGCTTATATATTCAAGGCTTATATGACAATGTCCAAGTAAGCAAAAAAAAAAGAAAAAAAAAGGAACTTATTCAGCTCAATTGCACAAGTCCAAAAAATCCACAAGCTGAGGAAAACTAAAAATTCCAAGAACACAAGAGGCAGCATAGACGAGAAGAGGAAAGACTTTGGTGATGAAAACAGGAAAGACAGGGCTCTAAATATTCACACCGAAGGCCAATCAGAGCAAGCAGATACACATGGGCCAAACTAGACCCAGGCAATAAAAACAATCAGACATGGGAGGAAGTAAAACTACACATAAGACTCCAGAGGAAAATAAAGCGGGACGTGAATAACAAGAACCGAAGAAGCTAAAACATAACTAGCACTAAAATACAAAAAAAAAAAAAGTTATTCTTGACCAAGAATTATTAATTTCCTTTCTTCTTTCTTAAGAAATGAGCTTCATAATCTTCAAGACCTATTCAAACAAACAAAGGTGAATAAAACAAGCACACGCATTATTACTATTTGTTTTTTTTAAACTTAGGTTTCTTGAGGTGGAGATGAATTAACTAAATATTCTGCTTGTTACGGCTACTGAAAAACTCTTTTATTTATTTAGTTCATTTAGTCATTTCACTTTTTTTGCTGCCATGCAGAAATATTTTACAAATAATTTATCTTGAAGTTTTGACTTAAGTTCAGCAGAAAATTCAAGTTATTTTCTCAGACATTTGAGCTAGTGAGTTCAGATTTTGAGATGCAGAGCGTAATAAATTTATTAGACCGTCTATCGTTAACTAGAAGAACACACAAATATTTAAAAAATGCCTCAAATTTGTTAAAAATGAAAAATCATGTTTTTATTTATCAGACAAATTCCTGCTGAATTCATGTTTTACACCCAGTTTTGAGAACACTAGACTTCTCTGAGATGTTAGAAATTAAACATAAACATTCAAGCAGTAAAAAAAATGTTTCTGTTCAGGAAAGAAAGTAAATATTTCTACATATTTGTCAAAACTCAAAAAAATAATACTGACTTTTGAGATAATAACCTGAAATTTTGACATATGGATGCCTTTTTTCCCCAGAGGTGGAAACAAGCTTCCATATTTTGATGTGTTGTGTCAGATAACATTTATCATCAAGCACCTAATATGTATTTTTTTCACCCACAGAGATGTTACATCGCATAATTTTGCTTTTTGTGAGTCTGGTATTTTTGGAACAAGTATCCTTTGCAGATTTTACTTCTTCACAAATAGGTAATATGAA